TGGCACGTCTCAGTGCACGTGCCAAAGTCTGCGTCCTTGATTAGGGTGCGTTCCGTTTCACGCATATGCGCGCATTTTTTATAGTATACGTGACACAAGCTAAATAGATAAATGCGCGCATATGCGTGAAACGGAACCTCGCACCCTTAGTATACGTAACGGGTGGATTACGCGCGCGGCGGTCGACAAGCGCGCGGCGCTCGTCGAAAATAAGCCCGGCGGAATGACACAGGAATCACCTGCTCGAGACATTCCGCGCCGTCTACCCGGCCGGCCCACTCGATATTCATAGAATCTATCCTTAGCGGCAACAAATCTCCTGGCGTCTACGCGATAACCCTCCACCCTCCTTCGTCCCGCCCCGCTTCGGAGCCGGCGGCGGATATCGCGGGGATACCGGGGGCTTGTGTATTCAGATTTCCGCTGGAAAGCAAGCCGTAAACTTGGGCGAACTAACGGAGCCCCGCTTGTTCTTGCTCAGCGACAGGCCGGGATTGGGATCGCGGAAACGCGCGGGCTGCTCGCCGTCGTCCTCGCGAGACGGCGACCTCGCGCCGGAGGCCGGAGGCCGCCGCCGCGACCACCGGGGAGCGGCAATCTCGCGTTTTTGGAGCGTGGTCGGAGAACGATATGGACCGTCGCGGCGAGAGCGGCGCAGCTGGCGTACAAACGGCACGAATTGAGAAATTAACGAGAGCGCGTCGCATTCTGCGCGACGATAACAATAGCGCGAACGGGGACCGCCCGCGATCGCCCGATATGCCGCGCGCACTCCCGTTGTTCTTCCGCGGCCGATATTATTTCTCGGGTATGCGCGCGTACAAGCACCCTGGGGCGAAATTATTGAATCCGCTAATTATAGCTCGTGCAAAACGAACGTCGGACTATCTATCGGCGAATCCCCCTCGGCCGCCCCGTCCCGCCCCGGCTGTATTTAGCCGCATAATGTCGTTACTTATCCACGGGACTACGACGTAGCCGAGGCGCCGTTGCTTCCCGGTGAGACCGTTCTTTTTCCTCTTTTTCGCCTCTCTCTCCCTCTCACTCCCCCCCCCTCTCTCTCTCTCTTTCTCTCTCTCTCTCCCTCCCTATCTATCTTCCTCTTTTCCTCTGCCCTCTTTCTTCCTTTTCGCAGCATAAACCAACCTGGAATACTCCCGCGCCGCCGTCGCCATCGTCGCCGCAATAATACGATTGCGAATTTAATATTCCGCAATTTTGCGCGCGCCCCTAGCCGCGCGTGTGCCGCGATGCTCGTTTCGTTTTATTGGCGACGAGGTGGGAAATTATACCGCGTCGAGTGAGGCGATTGTGCGTATCTCTATCTCTTTCTCTTCTTCCGTCTCTGTGCGACAGATACGGCATGTTTTTATTTATCCTCTCTGCCTGCCGCGCCTGCTGCCATGCGTGGCACGACGATGACGTGTTCTACGGATTCAGCAGAGGCGGCGGCGACGCGCGTCCGTCACACCCGCGAGTGCCACGAATAAAAAAAAAAAGGAAAAAAAAAACGAACAAGCAAGCGTTGATCCCTGAAAGCTGCAATTGTCGAGCGAAAGTCAATCCCCTGCCTGATTGTTAACCTCGGCTCTCCTCGTGGGTGTTGTAAAATCCGCGGAATTAAACGATCGACGCGCGCTTCCGACGACACCCAAGCCGACCGGAGTTTCGGCGGAAGCGGGGAGCGTTCCCCGGATTCTCCGCGCCGTTGCAATCATCTCAAGGTCGTGCCGGAGCAAATGCAATTTCACGAAAACCCGAAGGTAGCGTCCACCGTCGCCGCCGCCGCCGCCGCCGCCGCCGCCGCCGCCGCCGCCGCCGCCCTCTCAACGAATGAACGAGCGAACGGAGAGATCGAAGCCGTTACACCGGCGCACCGGCAATTATTCCGGCCGAGACTAAATAAAAGTTAGCCCGATTTTCCATTAAAGTCCCCGCTGCAGCCCAGGGGCGACGGCGACGGCGCTAGGCGAAGGGTTAGCGGCGATCGCTCGGGGCTGAGATCGGCGAAGTTGGTTTGCGGTGAAAATATTCGGTTAAGGTCTCCCGGGAGTGTGTCTCGAGGATGGCTCGAAACGAGGCCAGGCCGATCCTGACCCCCTTCAGATTATCAGAGCTTTTTCCTGGCCGTACGCCAACGGTCACCATGACAACCATCTTAAACGTATATATCCGCTTCACTCGCACCCTTACGTCGCTCGTCTCTTTATGGATACACCAACGTCACTGATTCATCGAATCACGTTGTCGCCTTCGGCGGCTCGCGGCACGGTTTGGAACCGTTTTCTCTTCTCGTCTCCTCTCTCTCTTTCTCTCTCTCTCTCTCTCTCTGGTCGCGAGAGATCGAGCCGCGCCGACTCTCAATCTGGCCTATCTCTTTCTTTCGCTTTGCCGCTGCTGCCCTCGGCGCGAGTCTGCGAAACAGGACGTGTCTGGAATCGCGATAGTGTACATCACGTTACATCCCAGCCTGTCCTACTTCAAAGCAACTCGACTCGTGGCGGAGCCTGAGCAACGGCAATAGATAGCGTCAGTATAAGTGGTTACGGAATTGCTCAATATGTGGTCGAGAGTGTGTCCTATGTAGGTGGACAAGCGAGACGTTGCGGCGTGTACGTCCTTTCCTTCGGGAGACACGTACGTCCTCCTCTTGCTCTTTCGCTTCTCTTCTCTTGCTCTTCTTCTTCTTCTTCTTCTTCTTCTTCTTCTTCTTCTTCTTCTTCTTCTTCTTCTTATTTCTACCTTAGCGGCGGCGAACTCGAGGAGGTCGAGGAACGTTGGACGGTAACATCTCGGTAGATTCGACATTTCATATTCTCCATTTCGCGTGTCGTCGTTGCGTTTTAACACAAGATGCATTACGATGTCATATAATCGCGAGAGATAGATCTCACCGTCCGAACGAGAGAGGCAAAGTCGCAAATTTCTTAAGTGATGCGACTAAATGCGCGCTAAATCGCAGTCGCAATTGCGGCTGTCTCGCCGCAGGCGCGCGGAGGTCGGTTTCGATTGGATGGAAGAGCTGGCGATGGTTCTACCGGCAATTTGATAGCCAGCCGCTTGACAGCTTGTTTCGCTTGTAATGCATGTATACGTTCGGGGAACGAATTGGCGTTTGCCGACAGTCCATTCGAAGACCGAGTTACGAGAAATTGACCCAGTACGCGCCGTAATCGATACACTACCGCGCGCGATGGCCATCGGCAAATGTTTGCACGGTGTGGCGAAACAAACGTTAATCGCATTATCTCGTAAATACGGAGCCAGCACGGAGGTGACGGCAAATTTCCAGATAACAAGAAATTGATATTTGCCTTTCCCTCCTTTTTTCTTCCTCCCTTCTCGTCGCAGCTCGAAGCTTTGCTGAAAGGAAGCGCGCGCGAGTCAATATCGCGCTGCCGCGCTCGAAACGCCGCGCTGCAACGCAGTCGCGAATTCTCGGGCCGTATTTGATCCAGCCCGATTCAATTACTCCGTCGGAATTCCGTGTTTTCGAGAACGGTGCTCGTGTAGTTAACCATTTAAAATCCGCGAAATTAAATCACACAAGGCGACCATATCAACCCACGGTTGATGACGTTGTTATTAATTTCCGCGCGTCCTCCCATGTTCTGCAATTTTGCCTCAATAAACCGCCTTGATTCGGTCTCGTTTGCAGCATGCACGCACGCACGCACGCACGCACGCACGAGCGTGTATTCGCACGCTCGCACGCGAGGTTTATAAAAATAATGTCACATTATTTAACGTGCGGACTAAAATTCGCCGAGGGATAAATGCAACCGCCCGAGAGTAACATTGCGCCGTGATGAATGCGGTCCTTCTTTATTCGACCGTGACATTTAATTACGGGGCGCGTGCGCGCGCGAACTCGGCATCAGCTTTATAAAATTCACAGACGATTTCTCGTACGACAGACCGTGTAACGTAATTGTAACGTAATTGCGGCGGCGTCATCTATATGCGCGGGGCGCGCGGGGCACGAGAGCAAATAATCAGGGGGAGCTATAATGTTAATTAAATCCACCGTGTGTTGACCCGTTATAATTAATTAGATGATGAAATTTTGCCTTTGCGCTACCTCAAATCTGGGGGAACAATGATCCTCGCGCGAATTTCGACGTTCGATACGAAATTACCGCGCAGCGCTGCGGTAACAGCGGTGAGCCGCAAGCTACCGTACGCTAAACGACGGCTAAACCTCGATTATTTTGGTACGTTCATGTAGAAAGGACACGGGGCATTTCTAGGGTAACTCGTACTCGATCGATCGGTAATGCATCGGAATACGATGCTTCATTCTTGAAATTCTGCGCTGTTGTCATATTCGCACGATGGAATTATCATCTTTGGCACTTGAGGGCGTAATTAATTAAAGGTGTATATTCCGTCCGAGCGTGAGGAAATGAAAATCTCCTCTTGTCCCTTTCCTTTTTCCTCTTTTTACTTTCGCAGAAGAGCCAGAAAGAATGTAGCGTGATTAAATCGATGCTGACGCATCGCGAGGTTTTCGTAAACTTCGAGAAGAGCTCACACGACCGATCGATAATTCGCGTCCGGTAATGTGTACGGTAGGTACACTTTTGAAGCTTGCGCTGTTATCATACTACATATGATGAAATTATTATTGCGGTTTGAAATTAAAAGCGAAATTAAAAAAGTATACGCTGCTCGTACGCTGCTGCGTTCTTGCTTCCCCGGCGAATTGAGAAACGATCGACTGGCAAGAAAAGTGAAGTTTCGTCTTTCCCCTTTTTACACGATAAAGCCGGGAAGAATGTAATTATAAAATTGATGCTGGCACAATTGCGAGTGTACCTCGACAGATCGCGGCTCGTCATAAGTTGTTGCCGCGATCCGACACGGTGGCCCTCTCGTCGCTCTCCGTCGCTCGTCCGCGAACCTCCAGAGGGTCGTGAGTTATTTTACTCGAAAGAACCGAGCGAACGCGCGACAGTCAAGTATCTCGTTTGCTCTTTCGGAAACTTTTACTGTTCCAGGCACTTCTTAGGGGCGCTTTGACTCAACAGAGCGCCGTTATCCTCGTCTGCATGGCAATCGACCGTTATGTTTGCATGCTGCACCCCCATCGCTATCACAAGCACTCCTCCAAGAGGGTAAGTTATTTCGCTCTCTATGCGCTCACTCATTAATTCTTTCCGACTAACAAAGCATTTCTTCTCTCTACACGTCCACATATCGATAATTGATATATGTTGATTTTGTCACGAGTTTTTCATCAACATCGTTGTTCTCAAACGTCTCCACCTTCCGTATTTTTTTCGCAGCGACTATTTGCATAGCGTCCACACTCGTGAAGGGTGTGACTCTTAATTTGTTTTCAGTAATATATATATATGGTGGTCTGTTTGAAATTTTTCACACCGCGATAAAGTTACATACTGTCTCTGATATGTCCAGAAACATGCGTCCGGAGTAATATGTCCGTGTGCTATTTTTCACAACGAATAAAAAATTGTCCCTTTAAATTCCCGCAGAAAACTTGGCGATAATTCTCGACGTCACTATTAAAATCGAGTGGAAGTTTTTTACGACCGTCCCAAACGGCCGTCGTTTGTGCCAAACGATATTGCTCGTTTCAGCCATCTCGCTCGTCCTGACAGAGACACGTTACTTCCTTAACAAACTTTGCATACTGTAGGTCTAACGACAAGCAAATTTACCCTTGTTAAATACGAGATATCGGATAAAACGGCGAAACAGTTGACTGGCTACAGACAACTATCGTTTCCGCTTAAAATAGTCGCTGCTCTCCGTGAGGACGACGGCTGTTAATGAAACCCGCCCTCCCCCTCCCCACCCGCCTGTTTCTTTTGAATTTGCAAGAGAATAGAGCGCGCCTTGAATCGTCTATTGATGATGAACGATCATTTCATTGACGAATGAGACACGCGAGAGTCCATTTGGCGACGTCATTCGCCGCTCGTATAATCCCGCGCACGCCCAAATTCGCGAAATGAAATATTTCTCTCGTTACGCGCGTCGCGATCGTCGTTTCATTTGCTAAAGAGAGATGGATCAATCTCGCGATAACATTTGCTGGCCGTAATCCGCGTAATCCTTGACGGATTAATATTACCGCTTGTTATACTTGTTATTACTGCCCTCGAAGAATTAATACCGATGTCAAATTTAAAAACTGAAGCTTTTGATGTCTGTTTTCACACAATTGGATCTATTATTATACACAGAAATGCGCGAATACGAGTGTGTATACGGGACGTGTGGCAATATGATACAGACCGTATATTCCGAACGATTTACTGAAATAAATATTAAAAAGATTGATAGCTTAGCAGAAAAGAGTAGGAATTCTATTTTAAAAAATAATTTTTTAGTCTCTTGCCGATCTCGATTATCTCGTGTTATTCAGTGACGAAATAAAAACAATAGAGATCATCTATTTATATCTCTCTCTCTCTCTCTCTCTCTCTCTCTCTCTCTCTCTCTCTATTTCTCTTACTCCCTTTGTTTCGAGAACATAACGAAAAGGGAATGACGAACTATATGAAACATACGTCGCCCTCGCAAAAAATGATAAATGGAATATTGTATATCTGCTTTGTTCTTTAGAAAGACTTCGTTGTCTATTTATATCTCAACATATATATATATATATATATATGTGTGTATGTGTATGTGTTTAATTCTCTTTCATATAATGCAGAGTGTCGAGACAAAAGAAAATAGTTCAGAGAAAGTGTGCTATTCAATTCAAAGTACTAGACTTAGTCCTTTTCCTTGTTTTCTTTCAAAATCCATTTGAGGGATAGAATAAAGAATTGAAGGACTTGAAATATATTAATATTCATACCGGTCACGATCATACCGGTTTTCGATTTACCCGCAAGAATAGCTTTCTTTCACAGAAAATAATTTTATTTCCGGAGAGAGAGAGAGAGAGAGAGAGAGAGAGAGAGAGAGAGAGAGAGAGAGAGAGAGAGAGAGAGAGAGAGAGAGAGAGAAAAGGGGGAAAAGAAAAAGTACGCGAAGTACATGAAATTTATGAAGTGTATGCTAGAAATAAAGGGCGCCGGGGGCCGCGAGAGTATGATATGACGCCTGTACGTGACACAATTTACAGAGAACACCGCGCAATGTCACCTCACGCGTCTCCTTCCAACTCACGCGCAAATATCGCCGGTAAAGAGCAGTTTAGTATACGTGCATCCAGAAGTCCTTCATCTCTCTCTGGACCAACCCCGAAACTCGGGTCAGTGCCAATGATCGTCGCGGCTCGAGTTATAATCCGGTAATCTCGCATCTCGTCTTCCGAACGGCGACGAGACCGATCGGGTCGACAGGCAGCGGTTTGGAGGGGGGGGGGGAGAGGGGTGGCTTTTGCGCGACGCGGTAACAGCGAAGTTTGCGAGCGGTATCAGCCGGATCCTTTCCCGCGCGACCTGTAACATACCTGCGGTTTTCGCGCCACCGTTTGTCGAAGCTCGAGCGCGTCGTCGGTTTACCCCGGCTTAACCGCCGAAATGAATTTCGTGGGAGATTTAAAAGCGCATCAGAATGCAAAGTGCCAGCGCGGTCTCTCGTTCGCCTCGGCATCCCGCCCGTTCTCGCGCTCCGTAACGACGATAACGAAATCCGTGCGTCGCGCACGGAGACGGGTGTACCGGGCGATTCAAAATCGCCGTCCCTCTCTTTTCGAGCCCAGTTGACCGGCTGAGAACGGACGACTTAACCTTGACCTCGACAGCACGACGTCGGATGACATCGTAAATTAAAGTTGACGTTGACGTTCGAGATGAAGGGCTCTCCGGAGGAGCGATACGAAGGGGAATTTTTTATTCGTGCATACTCGGAAGTGAAGGAGAAAGAGAGAAGGATGGGATCGATAGAACGAACGGTAACTCTGAAGCACTCCGTATAACGTGGTCGCCGGTATCAGCGGCGGAGTCATCTATAACGAGCACTTCGAAGAATGCAGCGGCTGCTCACATCCGCGCCCACCCACGCCGGACTTTTTGACTCACCTTTTAATATATCGCCTGTCGTTCTTATGACTCTCTCTCTCTCTCTCTCTCTCTCTCTCTTCCGCTGCCCCCCTCGCTCTCTCCCGGGAAATAGGGGCTATTCATTGAACACCTACGTTTTTCCTTAATGCCGCTCCGCAATTTATCGCGCGGTAACTTTTACTTATGCAGGTGCTTCGCGCCGCACCGAGCGCGCGCGCGCGGAAAATATCGGCGCTTGGCGCTGCGCGAATGTGCGAAGATATGCAAACACATTTCGATTAACGATTCGGCAGATTCGTTCGCCGAGCAGCGAGAGCCGTTGATCAAGTTCGGAAAGTTAACGACTGACGCGACGCGCGTTTATCCGCGACGGTATCGCACGTGCGCGCTGAGTGTACACCCGCGCGTAATTTATATTCGCGCGGATTTACCGAGTTAACGATATTAACGATATACGGTCGCGCTTCGATTCGCTTCCCCCGTTCACGGCGAGCGCGGCGATCGATGCGAGCGAGTAATGGAATTGTTATTTGCACAATCGCTAAAATGGGAAAGGGAACGCGCGGCGCGACGCGGCGGTGCAAAAGAAAGAACCACGACGAATCGCTGAATCGTGTCTTCCATTCATTCCGTAATTTTCCGCCTATCGAGTGTGTTCGGAGCGCTCATCGATTTCTGGCAGCTCTCTCGTTCCTGTCTCTTTTATATCCGATCGATGGGGGATGCCGAATTCGATTTCGCGAGCTTAGCGCCCCGTCTCTAGCCTGTCTCCTTTTTTTCTGTAAATGACGGTCCTTTAATTCTTCGCGTGTCCTCGCGTTGTTCTCGTGGATCTCGCAGATTGAAAACGTAACGATCGTGCCGGCGCGGCGGCCGCTCGCGACTCCTCCGGGATGATATACTCGCTGGATGCGCCGCGCTACAAATTGTGAGCAAATTAGTCGAGCGGAAAGCCAAACTTATTCCTGTGTCATGATTCGCGCTTGTTCTTATCGCGCTGCGACGTCCGCGTCGGTTCGAAGGTGAAGCTCTGTGTTACTTAAAGTTTGTACTCGTATTTGGCGCGATATTCAGCCGTGTGAGGCTCGTATTTAGCTGGAAGTTCGCAGCAACTTGCTGTTTACGTCTTTGTCGTAGCTACTCACGAGGTGCACGCGCGACGCGGGTATCAGAACTTCACGGATATTTACACGGATCGATAGTACCTTCGATGGTGTGCTTTCGGGACTTCACACAATTCAGCGATTCGTGCGCGATTCAGAATCCCTATTTCATATAGCTCCGTCGGCTGTGTGCATCCCGTAAAATCTCGAGGATCCCGTCGGCGTTATGCGCGCTGTTCCGTTATCCGCGCGCTTTCGTTCAAGTGTCATCGACGACTACGACCGTCTATCAGCCAAACAATCGCGACTCGCTGCGAATTCTGTTTCCACAGCCGGCTAGTTAGCACTGTTTAATATCAAGCTAACTCGCTTCAAGTGGCGCGATCGAGTGTCTCCCGGAGTGGGGGTTTATTCTTTCCCAATGTGCGAAGATTTTTACGCGCCGATTGATGGAGCTCCTGTGGCGTTGTAAAAAGATTTTCGGATATTTGAGAACATTCGAGGCACCTTTCGACTTAAAAAATTTTGGCTTCTAAAAGATTTCCGGACATTTTAAAATACTCGTGATGTACTCGAAGGTGTCGTTTTCTCCTCCGACTTTGGACGATGCTTGCGAGCCGAAGAGACTGTATTTATGACAGCAGGAAGGGAGAGAAAAAGGGCACTGCACACACACACACACACACACACACCCAAGTGTCAATTTTTACCGCTCGGGGAGCAGTTGGATCAGGTGTCATTCCGTTGATCGTTCTTCGAGATCGGAACGAGACTCACCTAATCTCGATAATACTTAACACGCCGGGTTTGCGCCGTAAAAGCGGACCGTCGATAAAACTGGTCCATCGAACTTTCTTTATTTTCGCCGGGAGACTCGATCGCGGGCGAAACGATGACTTCACGCAGCTCGTCCTCCGAAAGGGCGCAGGGACGCGCAGCGAGACCGTCGATATTTTTAGCAACGACACCTAACTTTTGCCAGCTCTTGGAACTCTTATCTTGCAAATTCAACGTTAGAGAGCTTCTTGCAGCTTCCGCTCCCTCGTCCTTCTCATTCTACGCTTCCGCGTATCCGCGCGTCGATTTTGCATCTCGACATTAATACCACATGATTTAGATACGTCAAATACGAGGCTGTGTTCGCACACGTTTCGCTACGATCGGCGGCAAAAATCGGCCGAGTCCGCGGCCTTTTCATTATTTCTACCGGTCTACATCGGCATTAGAAGTTATTTTGCACGGCCGATTCGCGGCGGCCGCTATCGCGATTCGCAATAAAAACGGCATATAGTAATCGTTTGGGCAAACAAGCGTGATATAACTACGCCGCGGAATGCGAAACGTGTGCAAACAAACTCCCGGCGCCGGCCAATAAAAATATATGGACCGGCTATCCCTCCCCCCTCCCCCTCTCTCTCTCTCTCTTTCTCTGTGTGCACACACACGTGTTACTCTCTCCACACGCTACACCAGATCCATAACAGGCTTGGCGTCCCCGTGAGAAAGAGTGATCGTTTTCTGTCTATGTTGACACAGTATTACATGCGGCAGGGTTGCGTGGCGGTGATGTCGACCACCTGGATAGCGAGTGTGGCGATTTTCGGAGTTCTGGTGCTCCCCAGGGGCGGTTACTACTTCAACGGGTCCGGTCTCCTCGCCTGCGACCCTTTCTTCGCTAGGGCGTCCCTTAGGTATCGCCACGGCGAGGCATGCTGATAACACGACCGGGTCATCCCTCCGCGTCTGTTCACGCCGCTGACCAATTGCGGACGATTACAATTTAACGTGAAGAGCGACACGCTCGGCCGCGCGGCTGATCGCCTCGGGGGCGAGCCGCGCGGGGGGGGTGATCAACTGTGAAAGAATAGGGGACATCCGCGCGCTGACGCCCCTGGTCGACGCGACCTTAACTAAATACGAGAGTCCATCTGCGCGAAACTGTCGAAAAACTTCCATCCCGTCGATGGCTCGCGAGATCGACTCGCGCTCTACGCTGTTCCCGATGCAATCGCGAGTGCCTTCGCGTTACAGTTGCCGTTTGCGAGTGTCGATATCGGACTGGCGGCGCGCAAAGAGCTCGAAATCATTTAAATCCGCTCGATGTCGAGTTAATTCGCAGGTTTTTCTGAACCTGAGTTCTCGCTGAGTCCGCGAGAGAGGCTCGCCGTTCTGTCGCCGGCTGAACGAAGTGTTGGGAATCCTGAGCTGTGTGACAACCGTAACGCGGCGAAATAGCGAGGAAAGAAGAGGAGCTTGAAGCTCCAGCGAATGCATCGCGATATACTTCCTGTCGCGATATAAATACGGATAAGCGTTTCGATCGGACGCTGATAAACTTGGCGCGCGTATCGAGTTTCATTCGCGGTCGGTTTTGCGGAATGTAACTCATCGCGTCCGCGCGACATCGTCTTCTTCGCAGCGGTACTTTGTACGTTTGACCGGGTTCGCGCTCGCGCACGTTAATTGCCGGGCCTGCGGGCCGGAAAATGCTCTTTATCCTGTCTCCCCTTTCAGGATCCTCGCGTGTTGCTGTTTTTATTTCCCGACGACGATGGTGCTGATGTACTGCTACGGCTCGGCCTTCCACGTTAACAAACTGCGCTTGAAGAGGGTGGTGTGCGTGAACACGCCTGAGGTCGTTAGCGGCGGACATATAGAGAGGGTAAGTCGCAGGTTGATTCGCTTTGAATACGCTCGAATGTCGAATACGAGAGTCGGGGTTCGTTTGGCAGCAGGTGTGTTGATAAAGCGACTCCCCGTGAGTCGTGAAAAACGTAAGCGGGGCAGACTCCGACTAGAAATTTTGATCAGGTTCACCTAGCATTGATAAGGACCCAACAGAGTGAATGAAAGGCAATCCTAAGTAAGTCAGTCCTTATAATGTCCTAACGACAAATGAGGAGTAAGGAAGACCTTTATAAGGTTATATTTATAAGGTTATAACGATTGGGTTCACATTAGGACCTTAATGTACCAACCTGGTGTATGATATAATACTGTTCAGTTAATCAGGTCCTTGTCGGGATCTTATTCACTGTACCTAATATGATTTATTGTATTATCAAGTTTTAACGAAACAACTTTTGGATGTAATTTCCAAATATAAAGATGTTTGCATTGAGATAACACTTCAGATCACTTGAATATATTAGTAAAATGCCATAGAAACTATCCTTCTTTTAGCAGTCAATAAATAGTCGTAAAATTAACGTGACAAGCAACTTTTCTCTTTGACACTACTTTATGTCTTGACACCTTGTGTTGATACTTTACGATCTTATGATATTCATTTTATGTTTCTTTCCCGAGACATTTTACAAGTATGCTCGAGCGATCTAAAATACTATTTCATGCAAATATCTTTTTATTTGGAAATTACATGAAAGAATTCTCAGCGTGTCATTTCTTATTTCCAATGTCATCACCCAATATAGTCGTGGCGAGTAATCAATAAGGACCTGACTATGAATCCTTACTAAGATCTTGATATCCACGCTGCGTTACATGACTTACTAGAACCCGGTAGTATTACCTTATTGGGATGTCCAAATGAGGTCCAAACGAGGTTAACCTGATCAGGACCACGGGATAAATTTCTAGTCGGGACGTTGTGTCATCGGCGATTGGTTGGGAGATCCGCGGGTGGTGATAATCACGCAACGATGCGTTTTCGAGGCCGAGCCACGGCGAATTAGATATTAACCACCGCATTTTGCATTCGACGCTCGGAAGAAGACGCGATGCGATCTACGTGACGCGCGGGGGAAGATTGGGGAAAACAGAGAACGCTGCGCGTGTCATGAAACTATTTAGGAGAAACCGGAAAAGGAAAAAGCAAACGCAAAGTTTCCTGCGTAACACGTGTGTACTTCACTTGGCGAGTGTGTTTGTTTCGTTGCGTATCCTATTGTCGCGCATTCTACGGTCGAACATGTCGTAAATGTTTTCGCGATTTCGGCGGTCGTTTTCGACGATGTGCGCATTTGCGCGAACATTGTCGCTAAGTCGGCCGATGATCGAAGGGAAATAACTTGCGGCTTGACTCTCGACGGTGTTGAAACTGTGTTAAAACCGGGAAAAGCGAGCGTGAATACTTTGTCCCTCATCTTGTTTTCTTCACGGCCGGTCGCTGCACCGCCGCTTTCATCGGCGGCGCAGCCGCTCGAGGCTCGCAATCCCGGCGTGCAAATTGCGCAACGAAATTATAACGCTCGCGAGCGGTAAGTGTACCGAAGAAATTCACGCGAAAGTTTTTACGCACCGGCAAATGCCGCGGTGCGCAGCTCGCGGGAGCAGGAGATAGAAAAGTCCTCGACTAGCTTCCTGTGTTGTTGAGTAGACTCTGTCTGTCTGCTGAAACACCGGAGATATTCACGCGGGTGGAGATTCCACGGGACGAGAAGCGAGCGCGATTTCGAGGACAGCTGACACGAGGAAAAATCGAATAATCGTGCCACCGATATATCCCCGTTGGAGTAGAGATGCCAAATAGTCGTTTCGAGGTCACGGAGAGACTCCGCCAAAGGCGCTTTGAGAATATCGCGAGGAGGAGGAGGAGAAGGAGGAGGAGGAGGAGGAGGAGGAGGAGCGGCGGCGGCGGAGGGAATGCGGGGAGGGATAGCGTGAAAGTGCTCCCAAAGCTATAGGTTGCCCGGTTACAACGTGCAGACGGGACTAATGAAAATCTAATGGCTCGCGCTATCCGGCCGATATTAATTCCTCCTTATCATGCGCGATATATTTTTAACGAAGCGCGGCTTAACGGAACTCGACGATCCCGCGATGATGTTTCCGCGGCGGAATACTCCGCGTATCGCAGAGGGCATATCGCCAGTAATTGGGAGAATCCGGCTTATTGAAAAATACTCAAGAGAAATACCGCCGTCAATAATTATCGAATATCCCGAAAGCGGCAGCCGTGATCCTTTCACGTGCTTCCACGTGCCGTACGATTAATTACGAGAATCCTGCCGTGTACGGCTCTCGCTCTCTATTCCTCGGAGTGGAATCCTCGTATTGCGAACGACTCGTCGCGCAATCTCTATCTCCGAAATCCGTATCTCGTAGCAAGCGTCCCGAATACGCGAGACGATAGATCGCTGTCGTCGATCTGCGATGACTGTTAGTCCCCGGGCGCCGTTGAAATGACCGCAGGGAGCCGGCCGATATCCGTGAAAGCCCGAGAAAGACGCGCAGCTTGCGGCGATAGAGTCCGCACTGCTGGTGGCTCCTTGGTGGCTCCCGATATCTTCGGCATTGCCGGACAGAGGACAACCGTCCGAAGCAAGATGGATGATCCGAACGCGACCAAGCCGACGTCGCTTGAATTCGCCGCCGCCGCCGCCGCCGCGATGCATTGAATTCATCCACGATAACGAGCTCCTGAGGTCGCCCTCGCTGGCGTAAACGTACCTACGCGATCAGACATTGAACGATCGTGGCGGTGCCTCCTATCCGGTTAGGATAGCAATTTAGCAATCCCGGAAAGTAGTCGCGAAAGCCGGGCAATAAGCGCCACGTAGAATGCAAACGCGCCCGTTGCCGTCCGTTGTTCTCCGGACAAACGGGATTCGTGGAATCGCCGAGTATTCGAGGGTCGGACGGGAATGGAGGGTGAGAGGAGGATGGATGAGAGCGTTGCCGAACGAACGATTGATCGGGCGAGTGTTTCGAAAATAATTGGTCCCACGGGCAGGTATCGGCCGGTGATGTCGACGATCAATCTTGTCCCGCGCTTGCATACCTCTTGAGCCTGAAATTCTTAAATTTGCATCCGGCATATTCGCCGGCCATTAAGAACGCAAAACTCCGAAGGTCGCGAACCGTCTTTTACAACCCGTCGACTTTCAATTTCACATAAATAAGTACCCCGGAAGAGGCACTCTCCGGTAAGTATCAGGCTTCCTCTCGGCCGAAAGCGTGCGCAACTCGGATCTTAAAGGGTATATATGTAAGTACATACGTGTGTGTGTGTGTATGTGTGAGAGACGCGCGCTCGCCGGAGAGAATCTCCTTACAAACCCGCTATTAGGGTCTCCATTATAAACGCTTTCAATTTGTAGAGTAGCAGCGAGCAAAAATGCGAAGTGATGCTCTCCGCGGTGAGAAGCGGGCGAAAAAAGATAGAGGTAGAGAGAGAGAGAGTGAGAGAGAGAGAGAGAGAGAGAGAGAGAGAGAGAGAGAGAGAGAGAAAGTGAGAAGAGAAGGCGGGAAGAGATAAGAAAAGGAAAAGAAAAGAGAAAAAAGAGGAGAAAGGAAGGAAACGACGTAGGAAAATATCCCCGTGAATGGGCGCGCCGCTGAAAATATACATCGAGAAATGGATCGCGCATTATAGGCTTCGCCGCGTTCACCCTCGGGAGTCATGCGAGAATCCTGACCCGGTTTAAGTAACCCTATTCTAAAAGCTTCCTCCCCTTAATTCCGCTCTAAAAACGTACCTTACGTCTTGGCAAATTTTGGCAAGCTCTTCGCGCACGAGAGAGAGAGAGAGAGAGAGAGAGAGAGAGAGAGAGAGAGCTGACACGCTCTTTGGCTTCTTCCAATCCCGCCGACCTCTCCCGCGTCCACCAGCGTGACGCCTTCGTGGTCGAACCACCACCACCACCACCACCCTCCTTCAAGATGTGCGTCCCAGTTTTCGCGGCAAACAATATTTTTCTTCTTGTGCCCCCGCGTCACCCCTTTCCCGGCGCTCGTTTCCCCATCCCGTTTCCAGGAAATCGCATTTATCTTGACATTAGCCAGACCCATCTTGCAAGGAGGCCAGAGAATTCCGACCTTGTTCCCACTGGGTGCACTTGCTTATTTCTCTCTTTTTTCCCTCTCCCTCCTTTCCCACTCCAATTCTTTGTCCCCCTCTCTCGCGCCGTGTCGCCTCGTTCCGTCGCTCTCGTATTTAGCAGTCTCACGCCATCGACAAGCAGCACGAAAAAGCAGAGGGAGATAAAGGAAAGCTCTTCTATCCGAGTCGACGAAGTTACTTCCGCTAATGTGTCCGTGTAAAAGCGCGAATGTAAAGGAGAAAAAAAAGAAGAGGATAATGGATTAGATATGCGCACGGTTACATCCGTGCTGATTAATTTGTTGTTTGCACAGTGTGCGCCAGCTTTTTATTTGACTTTCCCTCGGTGGAAAATTGGATGGGAAAATGATCTCGCCTTTTCTTCTCGTAGTTGTGCGATATTCCATGCGACGTGTCTGAAGCCAAACGAGGAGCACGATTCGTTGGCTTCTCGCATCCCCTCGATGCCACGTTCGCTACGTTTACGAATCTTGGCAAGCGAAAAACTTGCCTTTTTCGGGAACTCTCGTGATCGACAAGAGCGAATTTTCAGGTAACTCGGCCTCGGCCGGGGCTGAAACAGGATGTACTCGGATTGATTGTTGCGCGACAGCGTTCTGCGCGCAATCGCTTTTCAATCAGACACACCGAGGGCGAACGTTTGCATACGCAAACTTCGGCCGATCCTGACGAGAGGTCCATCAGGGGTAATGAAAACGAGAGTTCCTGAAAACTTTCAGACCGGGGGTGATTTTCGTCCGGAGCGTCGAACGGCGAACGAGAATCTCTCAAAATCTCCAGCAAACTAACTTTGCGCGCCCAATAATCCCACCTCGTTGCTGTCTACGTCCAGACTCCTCGGTCCCGGTTTCGACGTC